CCCTGTTCCCCAGCACCCTCAGCCCACCCCCTACACACAAACACACACACACGTGCAAAGGTCTCCAGCCATCTGGCCCCATCCCGAGGTCCTTTTGGGATCTGTGTCTACCTGGCCTCTCCCTCGCTCCTGAAGCCCTCCCCTCTGGCCTCGCACACCCGCTTGGCCTGGGACCCCTTTGCTTCCCCTTCTCCTCTCTTTCCAAGGCAGACCTTCCCTCCCCTGGCCACCAGTGCCCTGGGCGTGGCTGTGGCCGAGCCCCCCAGAGCCGCCAGAGTGACCCCTCGAGACTGCACTCTGAACCTTCACCCTGCACGTGCACCCCTGCCCCACCTTCCCATCGCAGCCCACCCAGGGTCTGAGCCTAGGAGTCCTTGGGACACGGCCTGCCCCTCGTCCCCCGCTCTGGCCCCTCCAATCTGTTTCCACCTTCCTCACCACATTCTTCCGCTTCTGGCCCCAGAGTCCACACCACCACAGTTCTCGCATGGACAGCCACCGTGGCCTCCTGACTGTCTCCCCTCTGCCCTCCCATTCAGCCATCCACAGCCCGAGCAGGTGGGGGTCGTGATTTTTCAGAGTCCACAGTCCCCAGGAGAGCTGGCCATGTCTCCCACAAAACACTCACAAAGGTTCAGAAGCTGGAGACCCGCCAGCGCCTCACTGGACCAGGCTGCAGCCACTGGCGGACGCACGTTTCCAATGCTGGCCTCGACACAGGGACTCCTTCATGCACCCACGAAAATCCCTGCGCCCCACAATGTGCCCGCTCTGGGGCTCAGGGACACGGCAGGCAGTGTCCTCCCCCATGGAGGGCTCAGGACAGAGGGTGACGGGTGCTGCTACGGAACAGCAGCAGGGAGAAGGTGGACAGTGCAGCGTGGTGACACGGGGCAGCCAGCACAGTTGGGCCATTAGACAAGAGCATGGCGGTCAGTGCTCCACATGGAGGGGCAGCCAGGGCAAGGCCCTGAGGCAGCGGCTGGCACGCAGCCTCATGTGACAGCAGGCAGGACCGTAGGTGAACATGGCGTTCGAGGAGGTGGCGAGTTACCAGGTTAGTTTTCATCCTGAGGGCTATGGGGAGCCACGGCGGGCTCAGAGCAGGGAGTGGCACGACCTGACGCGTGGCCAAGTGTGCTCTCAGGCCACGGGTGGGCCTGCCTGGAGACAGTGGGAACAGGGCTGTCACAGGTGCCCAAGCAAACAATGATGGCCTAGGCAGGCCGAAGGCAGAGGAGCCAAGAGGAGGGAGAGGAGGGCGCTGCACCATCCCAGGTTCTGGGGCTCCTGAGTCCGTCCTGAGCTTGGTTTGGGCCCAGCTCTGTCCGAGCTGCCTGTGGGGTAGGGAGGGGCTGCAGGGGACACGGCAGGGCCAGGAGCTGAGGCAGGAGAGCACGTGGGGACAGGGTGGGGGAGCAGGGCCTGAACCATATGGGCTCCATGGGCCTCGGGGAGGGCTATCATGGTCTTTATTCCAAGGACAGTGGGGGCCACTGAGGCTAGAAGCAGGGG